AAATAAAAAATAGGAAGATAGAAATGTTCGTCCAAAAATCTGTCTATGATTTCGAACGATTCTTCCGAAAAATTTCAAACATATATTTACATTATTGCAAGCAAAGATGCGCTATTTTTGATATTGCTGATTAAAATTCTTCGCATTCATTTTATTAAACATTTGGCTTCTTTTCAAAAATTATTTAATGTGAGCTGTGAAGCTGCCTCTTAATTTCCCAAGGATTTACTTAATGCAATGTTTTTGTAAAATATTTGGAAATGAACTAGTGAAATTGCATATCGCATCCTATAGGTCGGCTTTTATCATACTGAAGAGTAGGTGAAGAGTATGGTTATCGGCGTCAAATTTGGACACAAGAGAATTTTCGAACATTAAGTCACAAAACTGATTAATGGCGGAATTAAACCTTTTTACGCATCTCAAACATTGAAATACCTCATAAAATCTGCTCAAATTAAGTTTTGTCATTATATTTATATTTATTAATTATATTTAATTATATGTTAATTATATTTAATTTGGCTTTAGAGAAATATGGCGAGGCTAAGTGGCGTTAAAGAACAGTTGGCAATTGGGTAAGTAATACGACTTTGATTGTGAGATGCTTAATAGAATTTGACGTGTCGACGTGATTTTTAACAAGATGTGATAGTTTTTGAAATCTAAGATTTCAGTGGGATTTCGATGATGCTATTATGTTGTTGATTATGTTGTTTCATATATAAGAAAACATTCGAAATACATTATTGCAAAAATTTCGTATATAACAAATCTGAAACCAAGCAAGGAAACCGATTCTATTGAAAAGTTCTATTCTGAAGCTCAGCTTTCTCATTCTACCTTCTTTTATTCTTTAGAAAGAATGAAATAAACTTTATGATATCGAAATGGATTGTTACATGAGCAATAAACAGCTTTAATTCACGAAGCAACATTTGATTATTTGGGCAAACACAGAAAACAGCGAAAACATTTAACGTTGGTCTTTTAAGGCAAAATTATATCCCATTATCGTGATATTCAAAATGATGATTCGTCCTTTTTTTGTGGTTATGGTCAAATTTCTCAATTTGTTTGCCGTATGATTTAACAACAGTTCATCAGCTATTAAAGCATGTTGCTCGGCATCCTTTCAAATATTCAAATAATCCAAAAACTCACATATTGATGGTTTTTTAATTAGCACATTCCACTAACGTTTTGTATTAATTAATAACATCAGATATTACAAAACATTAGAAGCCATATATGACCCTTCCTTTTTTGTGGTTTTTCATTTTTATAAAAATTATTGTCATTTTTTCTCTCAAAAAATTTAAAGATTGTGAAAATCTATTACAAATGTGCAGAATACTTGTGAAAGCAGTTATAATGACCGCTAAAAATTACTAAAAATTAATTTCATTGTAAAACATTAGAATTCCTAAAAATGATCCAAGAAATCATTAAACTGAACATAAAAATATGATCTGAGAGCACTGAAGCGTAAAAATTGCTCGTAACGAGAAGCTTTAAAAAATTCAAAATAAATATAAGCCACATTTAACGGCGATTTTGCTCAACCCGCAGGCTTTTTTTTTAGATTCCTCACCATTATTGGTTAACTCGCTCCACTGGCATTGGGCAACATGCCAGGGAATCTGTTGGCGATAGAAATACAGGTCGCCAGCATTACTCGGATTTTTGTGCAGATTTACTCCTGCGAGGAACCGAACCTTAATATCGGCGATCCCAATTGAGTAGCAACTCATTGAGTCATTCTGAGGTTAGAATTAATATTAAAATAGAGAGGGGTTAACCCGTGGAGTGCTAACATCCTATAAGAGAATGCTTTTGCTAAATGCTTTTCGACAGGAACAGACTTATCGAATCTTTACAGTTTCATTTTAATCCTGTGTCGATGCTTCCCAATGCAAATTCTCTCCAAAAAAGTGCTTTTATTAAAAAATTGAACGAATCAGGAATTTCTGCTTATATCTCAAATAATAAGGGAGGACAAAGCAGTGTCTTATTGATTGGCTGGATAATTCTATTATTCATATTCTATAATTTTGATCTGTAATAGTTGCAAAATGTGAATCATGATAATTGCCAAAATTCTTGTAGGCATTAATTTCGTTAATTCATTATCTATAGCCAGATTTTCGAAGGATTGAAAGACAGTCATCGAGCATTCGAAGAAAATTTAAGGTTATTGCAATTTCCTACGGCCCTGCAATTCCCTGTTTGCTAAAGTAATATTTTGTAATTAGACAAAGAGAGGTAAAAACATTTATTTCACCGTAATTGAGGTCATTTTGTACAGTTAATTAGTGGCATTCGATTTGTGATCGGCTTTCTTTTTCGACATATTTAATAGACGAGTTTGTGACCCAATTTAAATGAGGAAGATTGTTGAGATGGATGTAAAGATGTTCTTCATTTCCATCCAGTATCGCTTTCAATATTTACCTATTAACAAATTATAAAACAAATTATAAAATTTTTTGCAAAAATGGAATATTTTTTAAGGAGGGATCTAACAATGGAACGAATGATAGAGGCAAAACTAAGAGGGTGAAGGAATTTTTTATTTATCTGTCGAGGAAGGCAGCAGCATGATTGTAATATTTACACTGTTGCAGGTATTAACAATCATGATGCGATATAATCTTCGTTATAACCCTCTCTTCTCCCCTTTCTCGGCCTTATAGCTATTTTCGCTGTTATATAACCGATATTATTTTCATTTTAAACTTCTCATATAATTTTGATTAATAAAGAGAAATTTGAGTAAAATATTTCTATGGTTCAAGTTCTTTCTTACCATACTCTTGGGAACGATATAATAAAAACACTTATATTGCTAATAATAACAATAATAACAATAGTATTGAAAGTAGCAATATTTAATATTTAAAAGATAACTCCCTCACCGAGAATTAATGACTTCGAATCCAGCTAAAAGACCACGCTTTTTCGAGTGGTAATATCACTAAATAGCGAAAGTAAAGGGGAGTAGAATGGTTCAGTGGGTTTTTGCTCAGTTTCGAGCGCCAATGCTGAGGTTCTATGCTTAGTAAAAGTTGACCAACCTCCGAAATTAATCCTTTATAATAATATATTCATTGTTTTAATTTAATTTACATTCACTTATTTCAACATTGAGGCAAAGAAAGAGATAAGTCAGAAAAATTTCTTTTTTAGGTAACAATGCAAAAAAAGAAAATTTATTATAAAGCAAGTAAAATTAAAGTAGTGTTCTTGTATTAAATGTTCAGAAAATATTCATTTCATCATATTTCTAATTTTAAACGATTCTTCTCGTTTTTTTTTCATAAATCTTTAGCAAAAATGTAACTATTCATCAGCAATTGCGAAAAAAAAATTCTATCTTTGTGGTTATTCTATATAATCCAAATTTTTTTATTGTAAATTTTATTTTTTATTGTAAATTTCACAACGAAATCACTTAAAGTGTTAAATAAAATAAAATAAAATAGAAAAGTAGGTAAAAATAAATGGTCATCATTTCTGGTTATGCTCGCTTCATATGCTGTTAATAGTGAGAAATTTCCGCATAGAGTCATTTTCGATGGATGATCAATTGAGAATGAATGGCTTATCCCGCCAGGAGCAAGGGCCGATCCTTGCTTCTCAATACGAACCATTGTCCATTCGGCTATTCTACTCTCTTAAGCTGTGCATGAATATAGCAGTCAATTCAATTTATAGTCACAACAAAAAAGATCGTGATTTTTGCGATAAAATTTAGTTTTTTTTATAAAAAAATTCTATATTAATAATAATGCCACCATATAATATGAGAGAATTTATCAATTGAATTCAGATTCATAATAAAATCGGCATAATTAAACTTTACATTTAGCTTAACCCATAGTACCAAGCAATTTCGACATATAGCAAAAATTATAAAATGATAAACCATTGAAATTCATACGAATCGAGCGAACGACGAGTTTGCTGACTTTGTCTGTTTAAGCATTGATCAAAACATTGAGTTTTTATAGTATGTACATGATTTATTTGCGTCTCCAAATAGGCTATTTTCGGTTAATGAAAAATTTTTAGATCTCATGAATAAATGATAATTTATTTTTAAATTATTTATTTTTTCCGCGAATTTCTGAATTACATGAAATAATTCTTATTCGAGTAAACACATTATATACTCTAACATACCAAATGGAAATGTCAAAAACCTTCTTGCAACTTTTTCAAAGCTTGCTAAAGAAGCAAAACAAGTTGACCAATAAGCATAAGTATAGAAGTTACGATTAAATTTCTCTGAAGATATTAAAAAAAAATATTTTATCGGATTTTTCAGATAATATTATAGGTTTTGGATGCTATTAAAGGACTTCAGTACGAACCTAAATTCATTTCATTGTCTAAAATTGTTTAAGAGAAAAATAATCATATAAAAACAAATATGAATATGAATGAGTAAATTCAATTTAGTTTAGTTAGTTTAATGTGAAGCTGGAAGGACGTTGAAAAATATGATCAAAAGAATCGAACTGATAGGTATATCAGATTAGTAAGGTGAAAAATATTTTCATAAAGTGATCAATATAAAAGTAAAGCAGGAAAATGAACAGCAAAAGAAAGATGGGCGAGGATTGTTTGATCATACACTGATTTTACTATCTTCTACATGATATTTTCAGGAGCGAGCCATTTTTCTATATATGTGTTTGAATTTTCCTCTTGATATAATAGATAGATAGATTGATGTGACTCCTATCTCTAGTAATATCAATATTATTGTGAAATACCACAGCCGAAATTTTATCACCAGGTACAATCTTCGAAACTCGTCCCCCAAACCTCCTTTAACCTCTTCTTCCCTTCCTCACCATCACCATCAGCTCTCTTTCTCTCCATCATGTGCTGCGCATAATGTTAATATTTTATATTTTCTCTCTATATATATATATAATTAATATTGCCTTTATATAAATATTTGAGGAATCTATATTTGCAGATATTTATAGATGAAAATATTTCGAATACGATCATTTGAGGAATACGGTAAAGGAGAGGTGGTACAGCTATGTAAATGGGATGAGGTGAATGGTGGCGATGGTGATGATGATGATGATGGTGATGTTGGAAATAGAAAAAAAAGAGGGCTGATACATCAACATTCCGAAGCAATAGTGGAAAGAGAATCGAGAGAACGAGAAAGAATTTATTAGGGAAGACGATTTGTAATGCTTATATGTATGTAACCTGGACGGACGATTAGACTTTCCTTTTTTATTAGTTAGAGGGAAATGGCGAGGTATTAGTTAAATAATGGTAACGATGATGATAAAACTAGTGATAATGGTGATAATGAAGTTAACTAGAGGAAAAAATTAACATTTTATGCTTAAGGCGAGACATTGGAGAGGCTCGATCCCACCCGATTCTATCATTACCATTATTATTTATTATTATTACTATTATCATTATTATTAATATTATATTACATCTAAAATATTTATCTATCTATTTATCTATATAGACAATATACATTTGTGTCCCTCTCTTGATAACGAGTTTAAGTTGGGGGTGGCGATAAGAGAGTACTGCCTGCCCATCTTTTTCGATCATTAAAGACATTACACTTTCTTGCCTCGCACTAGTCCTCGTCTCCCCATTTTTAGTTCCCCCAAAATGGATCGCCGTCCGATTGTTGTCAATTCTCTCCTCTGTTTTATTCACAATTATCGTGACAGCATTTTAACAAATGATCTTAAAACTATTGTTCATAATTATTTCTCAAAAAGCGTCGTATCTGTCGCCTATTCGACACTCATTGAACTATTACCGCAGCAGAATGCAACAATGACTGATGATACTAACTGCGTAGAAAGCAGTAATGATGGCAATATTTCATCATCACTTATATCATCACCACCAACTGATATTATCCATTTATATGATTATGTTGCTAAAAATAGTCAATCACCAGTGATATTTGTTACTGCTGATCTTAGCGAATTACCGCTAACGTTAATTACTGACGAATTAGACTCATCGAGTGAAATACTTCGAGAAATTCGACAACTCAAATTATTTATTCAAGATGCTTTAAGTGGAAAAATTGAGCATACTAGGTTTGTTTCTTTCCATTTATTTCATTTGTTTTATTTTGAAAAACTGAAAAAAAAGAACCAGAAAATTCTTAATTTTAGAATCGACATGACAACGTTGTTTCGTTTTGATTACAAAATCTATTTTAGAAAATCATCTGTAAATGGCACAGATGAATTTTTTACGACGGCGAGATCGTTAGAATCGAAAATGAATCCCATATCATCATCATCAGATACTACACCAACTGTATCTACAGTAGTCTCGAGTTCATGCTTCACACCCACAACTTCATCTAGTTTCCCGCCGATTAATCCACTTGCATTATATCCTAAAGCTAACAATCATTTTGAAAAAAAAAAGAATGTCGGTTATCGCTTAGATGCAATGGTTAAAAAATTAACTGAAAATAAACGAAAAGAGAGAGAAACGATTCAGATGCTTGGTACGCCAATTTGGCCAACTGCTCAAATGGTTAATACAGTTGCTTATATTAATATGATAAGGTCAATGACGTCTATGACAGCTGCAGCTGCAGCTGCAGCTCAATCTTCAATGTTCCCTTCTACAGCTCTGCCTCAACCGGACAATTTGCCATGGTAGGCTATAGTTTATTCGCAGTTTTCTGATAATTATCAACTGTTTTTTTCATATGTTTTAAAATGATCTATTAATTATAAGCATTTTTATCTTTTCCGCTATAATTCTGTTCTCATTAAATTTATTGTAATTGTCGCAAGAGTTTCGAAAATTCGGCTACTCTGGAATGTATTATTTTATTTTGGCTTCTGTTATTAATGTTGCCTGAATCAATTTGTCTACAAAGTTCGTTGTTCTCAATCAACAAAATATTTTCATTCAAAGCATACAATTTTCAGTCAGCATCAATATCATTTAATGGGTTTATAAGCAATTCTCCATATTATCATTCCTATGTACGATTGATTGATTATTTCTCATTTCAAGCTTTAGTCGGTTAGCAATTTGAGATTTCAAGTGAAATATTTTTCTTATGAATAAGTTAAATTTTTTTCATTTAAAAGTTCCTCTTTTTCTACTATATTCACCATTTCTGCAAAAATCCAGGTGAACTCACTTGCACTTCTATCGTCGTATGACTCCTTAACGAAATTTATCTAGTTAGACAAGTTAAACAAGTAAACGGAGCAAGCCTAACTTGCAGTGATGTGCTACTTCAGAAAACAAAGCAAAGACGGTCATGTACACGCTTCTTTCAAATCTTTTCATCTTTTTTCTATTTTAGATTTCTTTAAGTGGTAATTTACTGAAATTTCACTTTCACTAATTTATTGATATGAGATACGACCATTTATTTCCTGATATATCAGGTTGAACAAATGAGTCAGTCCATACTTGAAATCCTTATTCTTTTAACATGCAAAATAATTTTCTCATTCAACTAAATGGCAATTAATACATTTGCTATAAACGTTACCGTTATTTTGCAATACTGATATTGATAGCATTGATAAAAAGACCGACCATTCAATACTAATTTAAGCAAATAAATCGAGGTATGTTTGCCGAATAAGATAACGCGCTTTCTTTTACCTTTATGTCTAAATGTAACTAGAATAGTCATGTATCGAATTTGTCACAACAATGAACATTTTAAGGATGATGGAAGGGATAATGAAAAGATGTCATGATGATAAGAGAAAAATACTTAAATAAAATATATAATATTTAAAAAATACTTAACTATTCTTAAACTTTTTGATAATTGAAAGTGATTAAATATCTTATATTATGGCTTTATCATTTATTTAATATATTTTATCAACAAAATCAATCACAATGTTTGTACTTCCTTTTTCATTTTTTTCGCTTTTTATGTTTTTGCAAAGAATGTTTGAACTTGTTGAACTACCATTTAGAATTAGACTAATCAAGATCACCTTTATTTTAATTTCTGGGTTCATTTTTTCTATTATTTTCTTATGTAGGTCTCGAGTTATTCGCATAAATAATTGCTTTGGGTGTAATTCACCTGTACTCGTCTCTTAACGACCCTTTAGCAAAAATTTTAATTTTTTAAATTTTCTTCTAATAGCCAACGGATCGAGCCTAATAAGAAAAGCGTTAGCCATATACTTATGCTTGCTTGAGATTTACTTTTACTTTTGCTTAAATTTTAGATACTGATAAAAGATTGGATAATATTTAATTTTTTGTTTTAATGCCGACAAATGAACGGAAATTGAAGATTGAAATGACATTTCATTTTAATTCAATATTTTTAAAATAAAAAGAATGCCTTAGAATGTCTTATTCTTGAGTGCTACTGTAGCTTTTTAATATTCTAACGGTACAAATCGCCGTCGCCATTTTAGATATCTTAACTCTTAAAACTTCTGGAAAAGAATTTTTTTACTAAATAAATTTATTTTCTTTCTTAACCTGTCGAGTTGAAGAAATATTGTTGATAAATAAGGCTTGTAATGAATATTCATATAAAGCATTTTTTCTTTTTTTGATCGCATTGGTTGGCTTCATATATTATATATATATATGTAGATAGATAGATAAATAGACTTTTTTTATTGATAAGTTGATTACAAATTTGTTTTGACCGTCAAAGGATTTTATCAACCTCTTTGAATGAATAAAACGATAAAAATATATACCTTTATTAATCTTTGTACAAACAATCACTTCGCTCGCAATGTGCTTGCTCAGACTAAATACGTTTTTATTGGCGGTATTGTTGGTACAATCTTGCTTTATATCAATACAAAATTATTTTCCTTGTTTTATATCTTATTGTAATAAGAGATGTCTTAACAAATCGTCATTTTTTTTCCAATTTTTTCTTACCAGAGATTTATAAAGTCTCCAAATTAAGCCCCTAAAAATTTTTAAAATTCATAAAAAGAAAAAGATGAATATTGCCACATCTCAGGTTTAATGTTTCTTTTTCGAAATAAGCATAGTAAAAATTTATACAAATATCGCAAATCTCTTTAATTAACCTTATTCGAGCACAAATTTGTTACAACATTGTACAGTCGTATGATTTACGAATTACAAATAGGAAATTTGCGAAAATTGAGTTGGGATGAGCGATGACCGTTCGGCGCACCTTTCACAAAATCCTCGTTGAACATTTCATCGAATTAGATCTTTCTATTCTGAGCTGATTTATATTCAACTTGCCGCATAGTTTTTCTGACTTTTCTTCCAGAAAATTTTTTTCTTCCTAGAGAATAATTAATTTCAAATAATTCTGGCATTCTCGAATTCTAATCAAACTATATTATTCGTAAACGAGTGAAGAATGAACGAAAAACATAGGTATAATTAAAAAATCATTTAAATTAAATTTAATTTATATCACAAAGTAATCAAGACAAAAAAGTATTATTGCGGTAAATAATTAACGACTTTGCCGTACGACGACCGGTTTCATTTCGCTTAGTAGCCAACCAACCAAAGATTTTTTGTTATTGTCTTAGATTTCAACTTTATTTCAAATTTTTTTTTTAAAATATCACTTGAGTTATTTCTAGCTATTAGTAGGATAAAAAATTTTCATTAGGGAGCCACTTAGTAATGGAAGTACAGGGAAATCGCCAGTACCATCCAGATTTATTGATAGCAAATTTGCTTCCATCGAAGGAAAATACAGAATCTTCCGAAACACGATAATCGGAGCTACTTGGCTATCTTGCCTCAATTTAATTAAACATATTTTTACTGCGCATCGCTGATTACAAATAAAGGTCAATGGAACTTTAATTGAAATAAAAAGTTTTTTCATCTTGAATTTTATAAAATTTTAGTCTTAACTTTTTTAGAAATTATTTATATGTTTACAAACTATTGTTTTTTTCATTATTGCCTATAAACTTTTTATATATTATATATAAATTTATTGTATTTATTTTAATTTATTCATTAATTTATATTACTTATGCATACATATATATTGCTTTATTATTAATCTATTTATATTGTTAAAGTTGTAATAAATTAATATTATTTATTATAAAATTAACATGCAAAAATTAACCTGTTTATAGAACAAATTATTGCAAAATTGTTTTGCGAAATGAATCCCAGATCTTTTACAAACAAAAAGCTAAAAAATAAGAATTGTGAAAAGCCAACTGATTATAACATTTTAATATCATATTCATAATTCAATAACATTTAACTTACAACAGTCCGTTTTATATCTAAATTTATGTATATAAGGTTAAATATGAGATTTATATGATCTTTATATTTATATACAATTATTCTCAGCTTGCTAGAATAAAACAAAAATTTTTAAAGTGAACTGCAGACAATACATCTAAATAATAAATGACAGGTCGACAAGTTATTACGATTATTGTCACCAAAAATTCTATATTTTAATAATAATCGAACGTATGTGGTCATTCAGAATTCTTCTCACCTATGTCGATTATATCAGATAAGAGATAAGAAATTAGACAAACATAACTGGTCAGTAATTTCTTTTACAATAAATTATAATTATTACGTAGTTTGTTGAATGAAAATTTTTATTATTATTTTTCTTACAAACGAAAAATATATATACGACGTTTGATACGTTTGATATATAAATTCAGTGATTTTTCTTTCATTTTTTCTACAGTTTACAAAAGAAAAACGAATCTACGAAAATCTAGGCCTTTTGGTAAACCAAGAATAAACCCGAATAAGCGTTTCATTAAAAAGTGCTTAATGCTGGCAACCTATCTGTGCCTCCGTCTCTAAGTGATTCTCTATAAAAAATTTCCAACCGTTCTATTACTAGGCTAGCCAATAATATGCACTAACTACTTATTTGTTTAATTTTTGGTATACAATTAAGAATTAAAATGTTTTTTGCAGTTAAATTAATAAATTAACTTTTTTATGTCTGCGTATCATTGAATAATTTATCACAGCAGATTTTATCTTATAATAAAATTTATTCATTATGAAGATGAAAATAGAATGTCTTAATTAATCTGTTCAAAAGGAACAAAATGGACTTGCATTAAGATCACTTCTGCCATTAAAAATGAAACCCGAGCAGTACTGAGGATCCTCTTATATTTTCATTCCCTTTGGTGTCATCAGCTAATGGCCGCAGCCAAACCAGTTAGAAGATTTAAAAAAAGTACAAATTAATCTTTTATGAATTTTTATATAATGTAATTATATTTATAATTATATTTATAATTACGATAATATTTTAGTCTTTTCACCGTTAGGGAATTTGATCGCTGTTTCAATAGAAAATTATTGGTAAAAAACTTATTTCTAATAGTTTGATTTATGCTTTTAGTTAATCGTAATCAATGCTTAGGAATACATAATTGCATAATTGATTTTAGTTGATTTATCCTTTTCATCATTGCTGACTAGGTGGGCTGCGCTATCTACAAGGGCGAGATCTTTTCAAGTCCTCGGTCCAATAAGTCACCTAGTCAAATAAAGATATTCTACTAATATCTCCAAGTCTATCTTCATAATTTAACGAATGAGACCGTAAAATCGATACCCTTCGAATAAACTTTTCTAGTGATATTTATCAATTTAATATAAAGAACAAACAACCTTAATATTGATATTCTTCGATAAGCCGCAACTGGGGGTGTCAAAATTAAGCATAAAAACTAAAAAAATAGATCTTTTTGTGGTGTCGATATGGAAGTTTCATAATATTCCAGCTTATTTTAAATTCACTCCTATCACCGACCTAATTGAGAGGTCTAAATGAACTAAATGAACTGTAAATGCTTTTAATTTTCTCATTCTCAATTTTTTTGGAAAAAATATTTTTCCTTATACTATCAACATATATTAACGAGATCACGAGAAAGCGGTTCATATTAAAGGTGGTTGGTGAAATATTCATTACAAAATATTATTCAAAATATTATTACATAATGAATATTCAAAATATTCATTACATGGATATCCGATTAAAATTATAATATTCATTGCAGCAATCATGATTTATCGATGGAAATAGATATTAAGAATGAGGAGACATCCGCGGATCAAGAGAAAAATATTGATGAACTAAGAAGTCCTTCACCAAGTGAATCGGTCAATAACACTGATTTAGTATATTCTTGTAATGATCTCACAAATGGTTTGTATATTTTATTAACTAAAAAAATTTTCTTCACGTCACAAAATTTTTGATATTTTTAAAAATGAATTTGCCGCTTTTTTAGAAATTTAGTTATGAATATATATATAAATATATATGAATAACAGCCGGATAACTTTGCTTTGTTTGGCTCTTATTTCTATGATAAACAAATCATCTGGTGCTATTTTTTGTAGTGTTGTATGCAGTATTTTATAGATTATGCTCCAAGATTTTTCATAATTTTGTTAAATAAACCATTCAAAAATCTCAAACAAGAACTAGTTTTTGTTTAAAAATATCATTATTGGAAAACCATTATTGGAAAAGATTTTGATTATCATCCATCGAAGCTGCAGCACAATAATACTTATCCGAATGATAAGTAATGAACTGTCCAAAATTCTCCATATTATCTACCATATTAATCAGTTCATCAGTCGTTTATATATTGATAGCCACTTTATTTAAATTATTTAAACTCACTGCTCTTTAACGCCAATATTTTATTCTCGCGTTTTGAAACACACAAATATATAATTTCACTTAATTATTTTAAAAATTATTAAGAAATTGTTTTACAAGTTCTTTAAAATTGCTCTTTTGTATATAATAGTCGATTAGTTCATTGGTAAACTCAGAATTTCTTCGTTAAATGATTCCATCAATGCTGTGATTTTTTCAACTCATTTTCTTCTTTTCATTTAATACACGAATTTTTTGAACTGAATCTTGAAATATATTAGTATATAGTGAATTTAAAATATTTTATCTATTTTATAGCAGACAAGCCGTATACATGTATGCACACAAATTGCCATAAACGATTCGCCAATAAATTTTTATTAAAGAAACATCAGTTCATTCATACAGGTCTCCGCCCGCACCGCTGTCCATTCTGTGGTAAAAGGTAAATATTTTTTAATGATAAAAAAGCAGAAATAAATTGAAAAAAGAATAAATTGAAAAAAAATCTAAAAACTATATAAAAAACGAAAGAAGCATAGACGAGGGATCTCACAAACGAACCATTTTTTGCGATTAGCCCTTTTTATTATTATTTTTTGGTAGCACTTGTAGAGATTTTTCCCCTACTCGATTGAAGTAATTGACTGAAATAACTCTGGATCTTTTATCCTTTTTTTCCTTTTCGCCTTTTTTTTCATTAGTGCAGTCGCTTGCCTTACTTATTTGAACTCCTGTTGATTCATGCCAGTAACTCCAAGGCACTCTTTTGAATGAGAATCGCTTTATTAGCCAATTCTTCATTAATTCCGATTTTTCATTTGTCCTTGATAATTGATAAATAATAAAATAAACTGCTGGTTAGAAGACTCTGTAGTAGAATCAAGACTCTTTTATATTCTCCTCTTGACGACAATAATAAAAGATTTTACCTTATATTTTGGAGATTTATAGTAAAATGTATCTATGTTTTTTATCACTTCACACCACTGCCGTTTGGGCAAGCTCTGGTGGCTGCAAGATTTCAAATCGCTCGACCTAATGCCATGAATATAACTAATACTCCCTTTTTCCTTGGTTTAGGGTGAACCGCCTATATTTTCAGAATCTCTCTTGATTGTATCATTCCATGTCTTCATTAATACTTCTCGCTGGTACTTCAGTGAGACGAGCCAAATATACTAAAGGATATTATAAATATAAAATATATATATTTGATTTCAATATAGTTTAAAAGAGTGAAAAAATTTTCTCATGCATTTCCTATATCTATTAAATGACTGAATTTCAACTTTCCTTGAAATTTTATTGTTTAATGACTGGTTTATCATCGAATATGATTCAAATCACTACACTAATGAATAGTCAGAAATACTTAAAAAATAAATAACCATAGCCTTATTCTTCATTTCACCATTCGTGGCTTGACTGATTCCACTGAATACTACTACGTTGAATAAGGTCCCTTCACTAGAGAGTCGCCAAAATACTATGAGTTCAGCGTCATTCAAGAGCATAATATTAATTTTTATATAAAAGAAGCTTCTATATGGATAATTTCTGTAATTAAATTTTTCCTTAAGATTCAATCGAAAAGACAATCTTCTTCGTCATAAGAAAACTCATATCGCTAATGCTCTCGTATGTTTTTTTATAGCAATTGTTTTATCTCTTTTTTTCTTAACTATTTTTGCCATTTCTTCGTTTTTCCTCCATTTATACAATTTTTTTTGCTAATTTTTTGGAAGTTAAGCGAGATTGCCTTCTTAAACATTTATTAGTTGCTTTTCTTGAAAATAAAATAATAAATAATTAAAATTACTATTGAAAATAATTTAATAGTAATTTTCTTATTTAAAGCCCTTTCTTGAATTATCTTTTAGTCATTTATCTATATTTTCATAATTTTATTTAGATGATGTTTGATTGGTTATTCATATCGCATGTATTAGGACTATTGGGATTATATTTATATTGGGACTTGCTGGACCATATTTAAGATATTCCTATCTTTAAATTTTAAAAAAACTCTAAAAATTTCTAATTTTAGGCTCCTGATATTAATGAATTAAGTGGTGAAGACTTTTTATTACAAATGAATAGCGATAAACCTTTGTTACAATTAAATAATGAAGCTGATCAAGAAGAAGATTTGTGATTTTAATTTGTTTTTTATTTTTTCAAAATGGGTTTAAAATCATTTTGAATATTCATGATTTATTATTCTTTTTTCTAAGAGCCATTCAGAATATTAATTTATTTGGCTTTTCTCCGAAATTAATGGGAATTACTATAAACTTTTTCCTTCTGTTCAATTCTTTCTTTTCAACGGCTTATCGAACTGTATTTTATAGCGGCTTACCGCAGTAAATTCGTTAAAATGTTAGTTTTCTTGACGGGTAAATATAATATAATTTATATTTATAGTTACTCCTCCCGAAAATTGATAAAAAGTGGGTGCAAGATGATTAATGATTTAGCTTTGATTATAGAATATTTCTAAAGAAATTCTAATTTTCTTGCTTTCTGCTCAATTTTCCTTGTTTCCTTATAAATTATCTCTTCCTCATGTTCACATATTTGGTTCATTTATTTTTCAAGTCTTTTACTGCTTTTATTCCTATGAATATGTATAAATTATTGCATAAGAATTTTTTTGCCTTTTGGTATTTTTTCAAAACTATAAATATGAAATAAATTTGGTATTTTTTCAAAACTATGAATATGAAAATTTTTTCATAACAGATAGTCTTTTATTGCTCATATAACTATAAATTAATATAATAGCAATTATTTTTAGTTCACTTGCATTCACATTCACTCACAAGCTGATATATCGACAAATAGTGCATGTCTTATATTATCGATGCGAGCGCTTGGCAGAATCATTTTTCATCATTTCATTTTCTGAGTGAGTGGAATCCGGATGGAGCTGTAGTGTCATCTATACTTCTATTCTTAAATGTCTTTATAGAAAGAGAACTTGACTTTAGTAGCCAGTGGAACCAGAAATAAAATCTTCGTTAAAATAAGATATTTATTTTGAATTTTTGGTAAAAAAAATAACTAGCTTTATAGCTGTTATAAAGTTCACATTTTACTAAAAATATTTATTTATAATATAAATATTTATTCAGTTTATTATAAATGGACTTTTGATTAAAAGGAAATTATTTTAAAAAAAAATGTAAAAAGGAAAGTTATAAATTTTTAACTAAAAAATTCCTTATTGGGTTAGAACTGAGAGAAAAGCACGAATTATAAATAAATATTATTATGATAACGATTGTTGAATTTGAAAAATTTATTTAAATGGATGGAAAATCGAAAGAAATGAAAGATACAGTATTTTTCAGTCAATAAATCTCCATGAAAAATCGTTTTGAATAATTCTTTTACACAAAATTATGGAAGGATTCTTATTGTAACAAAAAGGTTGTTTTTTCATAATAGAATATTGAGATAAGTGGTTAACATTCAGCGTTTCTGGTTAGACTCGTCCCACTGAGACAGTTATTATTAAGATGAGATAATTTTTGGCAGGGAGACAACTGGCAATAAAAAAAAGACAAGTGGGCAACCAGAATCACTTAGGTTTTTTAGCGATAGGTTTATTTTAGCTTGAGGCTTGAAGCGATAATCTGAGCCATTTAGCCATTCAAAAAATAGCTAAATAGCTTTAATATCCAATTTAAATGAATATAACCGTCTTGAAATCGGACAAAGTCTATAATTTAACTAAAATTTCTTAATATTTTTTCAAATTAAACTAAATATCACAATGCATACTAGTTTCATACTATGATGCATTATTATTAATTATTACTTTTATCGCTAAATAAATTGTAAGAAAAATCTTTAATTATTAAATAAATGATTTGCAATAAACGAATATATAAAAAATCTAATAAATCGATTTGTTTTTTGCGAGGTCATTGAAGTTTAAGCAATTTTGTGTAAAAACAATTTTTAATTACAATTTTTCGATGCAAAATCGATGAAAAATTTTTACAAAAATAAGGATCAAAAAGACTTCTTATTGAAGAATGAGGGAAGAATTTTTATTGAAAATAAATAAATGGTTAGTGCCCATACTTTCTGACTGGATTCCCTAGCTCAGAAAATTTTGCCAGAGGCCAATCGGAGTCGCCAGTGCCCTTATCGGTGATAGAGTGCTTTCCTTCTATTTCAACGCGATAATCGAAGTTATTATCCACTCTGCTATAACGTTTCCTTTTAGTGAAAATATTTCATATATAAATTTATTTATTTATTTACTTCCAATTTATTTGAATAAATATTTATGTTTAAAATATTTCTTTAAAAGCTTTACACGAAAATAATTGATAAAATATAAAATAAAACTAAGAATAAAACTAATAGAACTGAATAAATAAAATTAATTTGAACTTTGGATTTATTTACATTTAAATTAAAAATTAAATGAAATCATTTAATTTTTATTTAAGTGTAATTTTTTGCTTTATTACAGAGAGGAGATTTTTTTGAAACGAATGAATCGAAATGTTATTAATATTAATAAATAGCAATATCAGTGAATAATCACAGATCGGCCGACGACCGTATTGTATTGTAAAAATATGAATTTCGGCTTTTTGGCCGATGAGGAGAAATTGAACAATGTTTAATACCGTGATAGGATGATAGGATGGGCGATAATAATGATGATAACGATGACGACGCTGATGATTTGGACGTTTGCTTCATTGTAACGATTCGACCGCCAGTGATAAAAATAAATGAAAATCATATTTTCTTCACGATCATAATAGTATGAAGTTTTCCAATAAAATTTTCATCTATTTCATTTGAATTCTTAAATAAATCGAGCAATTTCTATCTATTAAATTTTTTGGTGCATTTGTCTTGACGAGAATAAAATTTGAACAATCTTTGGAGCCCAATTGTTCCTCTTCAAATTGAAATTGAAATTCAAATTGTTCCTCTTCTTTCTGGCAAATCTCATTCTAGTAACCATGATTAAAAAAATAACAAAATTAATTTTTTCATTTTAAAAATGTAAAAAAACCAGAAAAGCAAAACTTTACAGAAGAGGAAATGCCTTCTCTAAAATGCCTTCGAAGAAATCAATAGAATTGCAGAATTGCAGAATTGCAGAATTTTTATCTTGCTATCGCCAAACAGCGAAAGTAATAGTTGCTGTCGGAGTTTCTCTCTTCGGGCTCGACTCGTGGGTTTTCGAGCTCTTCATCTAGCCATCGAGTCTCGATAGTTTATTGGCAAAATGGCGACTCAACAAAAGTTTCAAATATTATGGTAAGACCACAGCACTCAGTGGAAAAAAAGAAAGCAAAAAAGAAAAAAAAGCTGGATAAGAGCAAATGGAATAAGAATGTTTTATATTACTAGTGTATGATGCGAATTTTATTTCTTCCACTCACTATTCAATTATTTAGAGACGGTAGACAAGAAGGGCAATGCGCTTATATAGCCACCGCAAACAGTACTTTTCTAAAGGTCTTGCTTAAGCCTAGGCCTGAACGCAAGCCCCAACCTAAGCCTTTCTTAAAAAAGTTAAAATTTTTTTGTGAGCATGAAAAAGCAAGAGAAATAACGAAATTAATTTTTGCTTTTTTTCTATAAATATCATATTATGTTGTAATTTTAATTGTATAAAATAATTATGCACGAAATGTTTGGTGTTTCTTATTTGTAATGTAATATGGTTCTGCTGCGAGATTTTTGGTCGAATAATTCTTTTTTTGCAAACAGTAAAAAACAGCGATCAGTTTGATAAATTTCTTCGGCATGTTAATCGATATTGGCAATATAATGGATTTTTTAGCAGAATTTTACTTCAGAACTACCTTGTTTCTGAGATTTCATGAATGAACTACGGTTACCTAATATTAAGGAAATATAGGAGAGGACAAGAGAGATTCATACTATACCGAAAAAAAGTATATTTTAAAAAAAATAGGAAAAAATTTGACTCCATAACCAAAAAAAATTGAGGTAAGATTTATAAATGAAAAAAACCAACAGATAATGTAGACAAAGATGAAAAAAAGCTATTTATTCTATGAAGTACCATATAGGCATTTTGATGAAAAGATATGCTAAGAAATGCTTATTAAGGCAATCTGATTTATATTCCTTTTCCCTCTGAATTTCAGACATAGTTTGTCCCACTTTAGTATGAAACCATTTCATCAGAGAACCATTTGAAGCAAGAAGTACGACTGCACCACTCAAATTTTTGAGATTTCGCTGTTAAAATAGAATTTGAGAAATATATTTGTTAGCCAGAATTATTTTGGACATTGGGTTGAAATTTTGCGATTATTGTGGATAATATTATATCAAAGAACTACTGAAATTGAAAACTTTCTTATTTCGCCCGTTCTTTCTTCTTATGTCAAGATTTATTACACAGGTTGTCCTCCTCTCCATGTTCGATTTACTGGGTTGGTCGGCATATTGGAATGTATTAAATGCACATACTACTATAGAGACGATCAAAGAAAATAGTTTTGAGGCGCACTGAACTCGTTTTTTCTTCATCAAAAAGAGCTTATATAAAATCGGCATCACCATAACCTTCGTCGAATGAAATCAAGCTGAACAATCTAATGAATTCAATGAATCTTTGCATTTGCGTTAATAGGGATGGAGTGATTTAAAATATTAATATAGATCATAATATTAATTCAATAAATGTAATGAAGAATAAATTGTGGGGCTAACTTACTTAGAAAGAATTTGGAATCAATTTTATAATGACTTAACGGCTTCCGAAAATTAAAAGATAATTAAAAAAGATAATTTTTTAGTGTAATTGAAAATATATTTATTTCTGCTTAATTGTTTTCAACCAACTTTTCAGTTTACAGATTTGCGATAAATGGTTTTGCAGAGAGAAAAACGAAATATTTGAGGAATCACAGTTTTTTCGCAAAAAAAGCAGTTTTTTTGAGGCATTCTAATGAAAATGAATGTTGTAATATTTTATATTGTAATTTTTTCTAATAATATTATGGAAAAATATTTCAAAGAAAATCAAATTACTTGTGAGTTCTATTATCCGTAAAATTTAATGAAAAAGGAAAATTTCTTTTTTAAAAAATGAAGTAAAAAATAGAAATCAAATTTGCATTTTAACGAGAGCCATTAAAAAACAAAAAAAACATAGTACAGTTTTACACTAAAGTTGAAAATTTTTTACAAAAAAAGGAATAGAAGTTGGGGATAAAAAGTTTCAGAATTTTCAATTAATCATTTAATTTATTAGTTTTAATTAGTTGACTTTGGCCTGTTCAGAAGTAAAATATTAAATTATTAAAATATTAAATGTGAAATGCATAATTGGTTTTATTAAGCAAAATGATATGAAATTTATATATGCATTTTGAAGATGCAAATACGCAAATAAAACAAGCTGATTTTGAATGTGATAAATTATTTATAATACATTTATTTATAATACATGCAGTTGCTTTCGTAAAAAGCCATAAAAAACCACAACTGATCGAAGGAAGTAGCAGAGTTGATATAGAGGAAATTCTTTGCAAGCTCGATTCCAAGTTCATTCCATTGTCAAGATCCAGTATGATTTCATTCTGGACTATTAATGCCCAAACTTCAAGCTCAAAGCCAAAAGCCGGATTAAGCTGCAGAAATAATATCATATTGAATCAATCGTGAAAAAGAGAGAGAAGAGAGAGCGATCACTGAACGGAATCGGATCAGCAATGTACCAACTTAATCCGGCTTTTGGTTTTGAGCTTGAAGTTTGGGCATTAATAGTATAAGTTATACATATATATATAAGTTATTCATCCACCTCTGATATTAATTTTAACATATTAATTTTAAAGAGTTCATGAAAAAATTGATAATTTTATGAACGATTTTTCATTAGTGAATTATTAACACAAGTCTGTCCCTTCAGTTCCTGAATTATGAACGCTAAGTACGAGATCACAATTTCATTATTAATATAATCCAAATTCTAGATTTTTAATTTAAAAAGTACAAAATATTCGTCTCGCCAGTAAGAATTGATTGCTTTGTTGACTACTTTAAAGGATATTCAAATTCATCAACTTATCGGGTTTTTAAGTAAATATTTTCGCGGTTACCGTGATTTAAAAATTAATTAGGAGAATACTGGTGCTGATAATAATGGTAATAGTGATCAATGAAAATTGTAATAGAAGTTGATAAGAGGGATTGAGGGCATAGGACAAGATTTTTGGTATTATTACACTGTGGTTACATAGCCAGCGGCAATTTTTCCACTACGGTTATCTCTTGTCTTCTTATTCATTAACTTGATATGAATTTTCGACAAAATGCAGTAAATTTAGTTGAACTTTCCTAAAATTATATTTAATGCATTTCAAAAGCAGTGGAATCTATTAAATTATCGTATTTTCTGTTAGAGAAAATCCTAAAATCAATTTTCGCCGAGTAAATGATAAAATATGGCAATGTGGTTGGATGACGCGTTCCAACACGTGAATTCAAGCAGATCGGCTCATGTCATTGATGAATAATCTTATGATTAAAGTCAAATCCTAGTGGTGCCAACTTATACTTTTATCGCTCTGAGAGGATTTCGCTGTAATAATAAGATGAAATAGCCACAATGATATACTAAATATTATTTTCTATAGCAAAAATCAGCTTGGTTTCAGATATACTTGAAATCAGTGCATCTTTTAAAAAATCTTGTAATTGAGTGTTGCTTATTTGAAACCGAGTAATCGGCGAATTGTAAGTTGCCAATATTAATATGCAAAATTTTATAAATTTTATTCCGGTGCTATAATAAATATTTGGGTTTCGATTTTAAAAATTTCTTGATTTAACGGCAATATTTAGTTGCACGATGGAATGATAAAAATAACGATAGTTTTGAACAGATAGATTATTGGTTGGGACGCAAACACATGCATGATTGATATGTGCGAAAACGGAGGGAGCGGGATCCATTTATTATTTCACAAATTGAATTCCTTCTTAAAACACAGTGACACTCACAGATACACACATTCCAGTTAATGCACTCGCTCCAAATTTTTGTCAGAAAACCATTTTCATTCCTCGTTGATTGAAATATTTTTAATCAAGTAAACGACGATTAATTAGTTGTACTTTATGTCACGAAGAGTTAGTAAGTTTAACCAGTGGAACAATGCAAAAGGTATTCTTAGAACATTTTCACTTTCGACTAACTTCTTTTGACAGCAATCAGCATCCCTCGTTTTAGGAATCGAAGCACAAATATCCACCACACCACAGTATCATCGAAACTTTTACAAGACTCCATATGGTTTAAATTTTTATTATTAAATTATTCATAAAATTTTGTGTTAAAATTGGAAAATAACAGAAAATTTGCCCAATTTACGGTATTAGTTCGATATTCCGTAACTTCATCCTAATAATCTGCAACAAATAACGCATATTATACGAAATATGCGTTCAATTTGAGTTTTTTTTCATACAAATCAACCATTAATTTATCGTTTCAAAAATTACACAATTATTTACAATTATTTGCTCTTAATAAAATAAAATTTTATTACTTCTTTTTTGCAAACAATCACCAATCAGATTTTCTTTCTTTTAAAGTTAAATGAAATTATAAACGTTGTTAGATGCCATAAGCGAAAAAGAAAAAATTATGCAAAAAAAGGATTACAATTGGAGTGGAAATTAATGCGAATTAAATTTGATTTTAAAATGTGCAATTTCAATGGTAAATTTAAGATTAAAATTTGAAGAAAACGATTTAATTTATGAAAATACAATATAAGTGTATGGCAGTTTATTCTCAAGCGAAAATCTAAATAACTGATTTTGAGATTTACGACGAATTTATTAATTGTAAAGTTAATACAGCAAATTTCCAGATCGAAGAAGATTTATTGACAATTTTAGTGGCGAAATTGCTTGCCTCGCCTCTAATTGCTAACCGAAAAATTTATAACTAAGAAATAAAATTAAATAAATAACCAATGTATGTTTATTAAGAGTTCGCATGCCAATTCAGTACCGGTTGAGGAAGTAATTTTAAATACCTTCACTCTATTTGGATCCACTCTAATTCCAAATGACCAGGCAAAGGATGAAATTGTAACCCGGATAACGACAGCTAATTTTTCCAATTGACGAAACCTTTATGGAACCGTCGCGAAATCACCATAAAGACGTAAAACATCGTCCATATAGTTGCAATTCACTCGATCTTGCTATATGGCTGGGAAATATGGCCAATGAGAGTGAAAGATTTTAAGAAGCTTTCAGCTTTTGACCACATATATCTAATATATTTTAAGGATCAGTTGAGCGGATAAAATCGCACATGATTGTGTCCATCGTCGCTCAAATACCACCTGTATTAATAATATTATCACAGAGCGTTGCCTTCGCTGGTTAGGGCATGTTCTCCATCGTCAACCACAGGAGTTTACACATATTTCGCTATTTGCCAAACCCTGTGATGGTTGGCGTCAAAAGTGAGAAGGGTCAACCAAGACCTGGACTGATAAGTTAGGAGATTTTGAACGTATAGGGACCAGCGATATATGGACTTAGACGATGGAAAAAGGAATGGCTTTTATTACTAGCTATGGCATGGGACCAAGCAGCTTGGAGACGTCTTATCCTTGTAGCCAGCGGAGCAGCCTAACCAGTAATGGTGAGAGGTGTCAGAAGAAGAAGAGTTCGCATGTTAAAAATGAAACATTTTATCAATGCAATAAATTTGTCAATAAATGTGAAGAGTTGCCACTTGGCAATACACATAAAATTAATGCTAAGTTATTGAATTCTTAATAAATACTAGACTACTAAGAGCAGTTCATGGAATATGGAGTGCTGTGCTTTAAGCACTGAAAGTTTGAAAAAAGAGCTGAAATCTATGAAATATTACAAGCCCACTCGTATCTTAATCTTCAAGTGACTTGGTGGTGCAGGAATTATATCCTAATATTCAGTTAAAGACGAAACGCGGTAACGATTATTGCTACAAGAAAAACAGAAAAGCGTTGAGGGAATGGCAAAATTCGAAGTGACAGCAAACAACGAGTGAAAAGATCTTTCACCATTAGGAAATATGCCAATAAACGAAAACAACTGCATAATTAGGTTGAAATGATAATCGCAGTGTTTTAATTTTTTTAAATTAGTTTTGAAATTGAAGACGAAAATTGTCGCATGCATAACCAACTGTTTTATTCGAAATCCATTCCATTTTAATCCATTTTAACGAAAATACAATAAAGTGAAACATCGGTTATCATCGACGGCTACCATACCATTGTCACATTTCGTTAATAAATAGAATTTCGAACAAACCCGAGAATTTACAAAATTTGATGCCTATAAGGCATATTTAACTTTCATTATGCATAGCCTATGATCGTCGAAGCTAAAATCGATAAAGTTAATAAGCAAAAAGAACCTTAACAAATACAAAACTCAATGCAGATTTAATGCCGAGAAATGGTAAGAGAGAGATAGAAATTCAGCCACAATGCTATTTTTTTACAAGATGTGCTTTCAATAATTGTGCACTATTAAATAGAAAATATGAAGATATCAGAATTTAATCCAAATATATAAAAAAATCCAAATATTTGAAAAACTAATAAATTAAATTTCTTATTAAAAAAATTATTTCTTAATGAATGATTATATTCGTAGAATAATACTTAACACATTCATAAAAAGTCAATGCAAACATTTCAACCCAGCATGCTATCAAAAAAATTCATGTACAGATACAATTAGTTTTTGTTTATCACCAACTTATTAAGTAAAAAATTCATTTATCAGAATCAAAAGACTAGAATATCAAAACGATTACATATAATTCTTCAAAATAAAAAAAATATTTAATTCAATAGAAAAGTGGATTATATGTGACCCAGTGCGCAGCTGGTTTTCGTTTGGCTTCCTCGCATGAAGTGAATAGCGATTTATAAGCGGCTGAAGCATTTGCATCGTTCTGAATTGAAGATGAGGGTGCTTTCCTTTTAACTGCCTTTTTATCATTGTTTAATTTACTTGTAGCCTCCAAATTATCACTTTCTGCAATTAAATGGCAAAAATTTCATATTTCATAAAAAGAATAAAACTATCAAATAACGATAACCTCGAGACAATTTACGGTTTTTTTTCAACTCCTTTTCTTTTAATAATTTAGCTTCATATATTTCCAGCAAATCGTTTGATGGATTTAACATAATTAATTTATCATTAGATAATGGGCCACCACAGCCATGACAAATATCGGACTTGACTTCATTGATTGCTTTTTCTGATATTACACATCCACAGTTCCAGTTGACCAAGAAACTAAAATTGATAACTTAATAAAAAAATTAATGGAAAATTTTAATGAGGGAGATGGCTCAAAAAGATGGAATGAAAAACAAGATTAAATACAAAAAATATATATAAAACCTTTTTTTCACTCTCGTTAGTGGTATGAGCTAATCTCGGGTATTAGAATCCTGGGAGCTTGAAGGTCCTATAGTATCTTAGCCAGTGTATTCTTCTGGACGGAGATCTCAAATTCCTGGGGTCTGTTGGAGCCATTTTTCTAAATTAGTAGTTATAATTTTTAATGGTCCTGCCACCAGCGGAGCCACTCTGACCTTCAATTTCCTTTCCATATCTTCTCGTCTTCCAGCCTTTGGTATTTCTCTTCTATTTCTCATATTCCTCCTAACGTTCCTACAACCTGGTATTACTATGTCCTTCAGTGGTATTGCTACCGCTGCTGATTTAATTCTTGTCTGCTACCACGATATCTGGTTGATTGGCCAGTATTTGTTCATCTGTCTGGATAAAGAAGACAACAGGATCTGGGCCTTATCATTCTCCATGATTTTTTGGGGAATTTTCTATTTGTTCTAAACCATATATTCAGCAGATATTCCTGTAAACAATACCAGATCCTTAGTTATGCTTTCAGTGTACCTTATCCTGCTGCTATATGTTGCTTGCATGATCTGCACCCTGTCTCATGAGGTAGATCCGCACTTCGATGGAATCTATTCTAGTGTTATAATCAGTGCCTCAGTGCTGTTTTGTGAGCATTTTTCAACCAACCACTGATCTCAATGCCAACCACTTCAGCTACTTACCGATGGTACATCCCATGGAGGATCTCGCTTTGCCACGGTACTTCCTCTACTTGATCTCGAATGTCTGCTGATGTTGCAGGCATTTCTCAGTACCTTATTCTTTGGTGACAGCTGCAGTATTTCGCTTGAGTTTCGCTCAAGACAACAGTTTTCACATTCATCAAGTCCCACTCGCCTTCTTTCCGGCTGGTCTTTGGCAACTAGAGTTGAGATGGAAATTTCAGTACACTGTGAAAAGTTTCAGCATCAGCAGCCTCCATCTTCCTTTAACCATCTCACTATGTCAGCTTCGTATCTGAATATATTTTTAAGGCATGGATTTTATTTTTCCCATTGAGCTGAATTTTATTTTTCCCATTGATCTTCAAAATCTTTTTTATTTTTTGGTGCGCTTAAATACGCTTCCTTTTCTTGCCTCTTTATCGCGATTTCCATGTGACTTATGGGATACCAAGATACTTGTGGCAAATTTATATGCCTATATGTTCTGCTGACAGGTCCACCTCATCAGCCTCAGCTACTTTCTCTCAATTACCATCCGACTTTTTTTCCCTCACCATTACTGGTTAAACTCTTTTCGCTGGCATGTTGCATTGGGCGATATGCCATGGAATCCCTTGGCGATAGAAATAAAGGTCACCAGCACCACTCAAAGTATTATACAGGTTTACTCTTGCGGGAAATAGAACTTCAGCATCAGCGCCACGAATTGAGTAACAACCTAATGAGCAATTCTATCCCTTAATACCAGTCGGCTATATTTTTCTAGTCCAAATGAAATCGCAATGTCTTCGCTGTAGATTCGTATTAGATGAATGAACGAGTCAATGCCTTTTACCACATAATTTGATTCATATGGCTCTGCATCAGTGTCCACTGCTTATGATCAACTGGCTGAAGCGGTTTAAAACTGTGGAGAACAGTGGCAAAAACAATATATCACTTGAATATTTGGTGCACTTGAGGGGTACTTGTGAAGTGTTTTGAGTTGACTTCAAGTGCCGTTTTCCAGAGTATCATTGAGTTCTCGATGAAGGCCAGGGCACTGAGTTCCCTATAGTCAATTCAGCCTATGTAATAAAAGAATGGTCAATAAATTGAAACTTGAGCTCTTTTGAACTATACTGACTCATATGATCTTGTAGTTTGACGGCTATATATATATTCATATTATATTCATTTATTGCCATTTAATTTTAGTTATTTAACTGAATTAAAAACTTTTTAAATTAAAAATTAGAAATTGAAAAAATGTGAGAGTGACGATTTAATTTGTGGTGAATTTCTAGCTAGTTGTTTTAAAAAATTCCGCAATCTAAAACCAGGAATTGAGCGAAACAGAAATTTTAAAATCTGCTTTGTTTATCGCAGATTTATCAGTGTTATTTTCCATTTTATTCATATAAAAAAATAAGAAAATGTTCTATTCCTCGTTGGGATGAACTTGTTGAAAAATTCGATGATGCTGGCTACTTAAGTCAGCTTCCATCCTTAATGGACTACTACATATTCGATTGAATATTCAAAAGAAAAGCAAAATTACTCATATCATAAAATTAACTAACGAATAATTCCCATTCATTGGAATACTTGTAACTGGACAACAAAATGGAGCAATATTACGATCTTTATAAACATCGCCTTTATCGACTTCATTTCCTTTGAACTCTTTATTCTCCGCTAATTTCAAATCTTTGATATCTTTCAGCCCTCGAATATGTTTCATATTTTCATGTTTACTAATTTTTTTCGAAAGAATTGCGTTTAAAACTGCTTCCTTATTATACAATCTGTAAATTATGCGAATTAATTTCTGCATAAATAACCCAAAAAATTAGATTCAAATCAAATTTAAATCAGATTTCTAAAATTTGACAAATCGAGCTATTTTAATCGACATTTGTCTTTACAAAATATACAAAATATATGACAAATATGCAAAATGCTTAGCTGCAGCATATCACGCAAAAGTATCGGGTGTGCAATTAAGATAAAGATAATTGATAAAAGTGGAGAAATATTGTATTTCCCGTAAAAAGAAATCAATAAATAATTAAAACAAAAACAATGAATAAAATAACAATAAATAAATTTAAATATATTTCTTCTAAAATAAATTTTGAAATAAATTTCTGAATTATAAATTAAATCATCTATAACAGAATTTTTTAAATATTTAAATATTTAAGTTAATGTATAAAAAATATATGAAATATATTATAAATATATAAAAATTTTAAAAACTGAACTGAACAATATCCACAAATCTATATAAAATAATCCGTATTATTTAAATTAATGGTATTTTTCCACTGCCTTAGAGATTGAATATATGTAAAATGGGTAATAGAAGCAGCCTGGGAGATGACGCAAGATGTTCGAGTATTACCTCTTGACGAGACTTTACCATCAGAAATGGAATCCATGTCTCATTGGGGATTACCGATCATCAAATTGCTCTCAGACGAAGGGATCTCCATTTTAAAGTCAATGCAAAAGCAAGTGAATTTAAAATGTGGACAAGTGAACCAGAAAGAATGGAAATGAAATGAACGATAGCAAAAATGAAGAATGAAAGGGAAGAAGAGGGAAGAGGGAAAGAGAAGAAAGAACAAAAAGAAGAAAATTGTAGGCGCGACAAAAGACCAAATAAAAGGAAAGTGACACGTTAATGAGCCAAGGAGTTTAAAAATAAGACCTTCCAAGACGACATGCGACAATCGGCTTTTTGAGTGTTTCCTGTGAAAGTTGACAATTCCTCCAAAGCGAGGCATTTACAATATCTTTTGAGATTTTCTCTCGCTTCTTCTTACTTTTCACCAATTCACAACGTTTTGGTATTGTTCCACCATCGGCTCCCATTACTGCAATTTGTTTCGCTGATTATTGACAAATATTTATTGACTGATAAAGATACGAAACAAGACGAGAAATATATATATGACGACGTTTCGATGCTTTTCGTCTTTTTTGGAGCTCAAGTAATCATTTTATCAGTTACAAAAAAACTCGTCAGCTCACGTGAACAGACAATTTTTAAATTTCCTATAATCCCAACAAAATAGATGCAAATTTAGACAAACAAATCCCAAATCCACTAACAATAATAAGATTTAGACGAATTGTCGAAAAACAGGAAGGATGAAATCGGGGATGAAAAGTCGAAGAGGAAGATTGCAGCTTCATAGCTGCATATTAGTATAATCGATTTCACACTCTGAAAACCGAATAGTAGCAATCGGCTTTGATTTGGTGAAAATTTAATGCTTGGTAAATGATGGAATCAAGTGACGGATCAGCGGCAATAGATCGGCGTCGAGAGGTTTCTTCAATTTTTCAGTTTTTAATTGATTTAGTTTCAAACACTTTGGTAAAAAACTCAGCGATAAATTAAATCGCAAATAAAATCAAATTGAAGCCAAAGAGTAAGGCAATGCGCGAAATTTGAGTGAACTGGCTTTATCGAATTTATATTCATTTATTGCCATTTAATTTTAGTTATTTAACTGAATTAAAAACTTTTTAAATTAAAAATTAGAAACTGAAAAAATGTGAGAGTGACGATTTAATTTGTGGTGAATTTCTAGCTAGTTGTTTGCACTTTATTTTCGGTTAATTCAATCCGATGTTTGCTTGGAAATCTAATTTCATCGGAGTTGAAGAAATTTAAATTCATTTAAGGCACCTCTTTCCGGGCCTAAAATGGCTTATAACTTGTCTGCAACAAACCTGATCGCTCTCATTTTCTCCTAACAGCTCTCACCATTAGTGATTAGGCTGGCTCCGCTGGCCATAAGGGTAAGACGTCTTCAAGCTGCTCGGTCCGACGCCATCACTAGTATTAATAGAAACCATTGCTTTTTCCATCGTCTAAGTCCATATATCACTGGTTCCCCCATACTTTCAAAATCTTTCTTCACCTCATTATTATTCAGGTCTTGATTGGCCCTCCTCGCTTTTGGCGTCAACCGTCACAGGGTTCGGAAAGTAGGAAAATATGCGTCAACTCCTGTGCTAGATGACGTTCCCTAACCAGCAAAGGTGACGCTCTGTGATAACATTTATTAATACAGGTAGTATTTGAGTGGAGATGGATACTATCATGTGCGATCTTATCCACTCGACAGATCCATAAAATATATCTTAGATATATGTGGTCAAAAGCTGAAAGCTTCTTAAAATCTTTCACTCTTATTGGCCATATTTCCCAACCATATAGCAAGATCGAGCGAATTGCAACTATATGGACGATGTTTTACGTCTTTATGGTGATTTCGCGACGGTTCCATAAAGGTTTCGTCAATTGGAAAAATTAGCTGTCGTTATTCGGGTTACAATTTCATCCTTTGCCTGGTCATTTGGGATTAGAATGGATCCAAATGTTTAAAGTCGGGCAATTCCGCAATCTGATCGTTATATTCATATATATTCATATTCATATATACATATATATTTTAAAAATTGTATTAAATATGTATTTTTCCTAGATTTTAATATGCTGAAAATAATTAGAATTATATAACATTAACTTTTTAAATTATTGCAGCTAAGTATAATTATTTTTTTCTGGCAAAATTGCTTTGGTTCATTCTATGGGCTAAAAAGTTATATTGACATTCTTATAAATTTATTTTACTTTTCAAAAAAAGTGTATTTTTCTGTCGTTTAGATTGAAGAAGATGATGAAATTATCAACCAAAAATGTGAACAGTTAGCTGAATTAATGAAGAATTCGAAATGTACAATGGTATATACTGGTGCAGGGATTAGCACGGTTTTTTCTTCTTGTGTTTTTTTAAATAAATGGATTTGAAATTTTCTAATTATTTTTATTATATATTAAATCCTTTTCCATTTTCGATTTCGGTTATTTAGGCTGCTTCTATACCCGATTATCGAGGACCGAATGGAGTATGGACTCTTGCCGAAAAAGGAATTACTTTAACCAAGTATATTGAGAAAATCGTTTTAAAAAATTTATTTTCATTAATTTGTTGGTGATTATTAATAAATTTGCTTACTATTTTATTGATTCTATTTATTTTATATTTATTCATTTATTGTTGGTTCATTCTTTAAGTAGTGCCGTTTCAAGCAGAATATAGAAAGCGTTGGAAAATTCTGTAAATTTATGTAATAAGACTTTTTCATTTCACTTTTTTCATTTTTCATTTTCTTGAAATTGAGTAGGTGTGGTGATCCAGTATTATCTTGTCCAACAACTAGCCATATGATCTTGAAAGAAATGTGTCGCCATGGTATCGTTCAACATATTGTTTCACAAAATTGTGACGGACTTCATCTGCGATCAGGTGTGCCTCAAAAAATGCTGTCCGAAATTCATGGTAATATGCATATTGAAGTTTGTGCACGATGTGATCCTCCACGACAGTTTATTAGGCCTTTCGATGTCACTCAAAATAGTCAGTTTAGGTAAAATTCAAATTTTTTTGTAATCTTCTGTTTTTTATCCTTTTTTTGTTTTTTTTCCCTCATTTTATCATGAACTTAAGCCATAAGCTTAAGTTAAGATTACCAAGGTTAAGAGTTAACAATGGAATAATGGAACTCATTTTTCTATTTTATTCGTTTCATTGTTGTTCTTATTCGATTTATTTTAGAAATCATGGTACAGGTCGAGTCTGTGATGTATGTTATTCAGAGTTAGTTGATACTATTGTGCATTTCGGTGAATCAGGAAACTTGCCTTGGCCACTAAATTGGAAAGGCGCGCTTTCATTATTGGACAAATGTGATCTCATACTTTGCATAGGCAGCAGTCTTGCTGTTTTAAAGCATTATCAATTTCTTTGGCCAAAACCTAGAAGTACCACTCAGGCTAGTTTATTTTTTGTTAATATATTGAAAAAGCTTGGTGTTGTTCATTGTTGTTCATTTATCATTGCCATTCTTGTAATTATTTTCGTTATCCAAATTTTATAGGTTGCAATCGTAAATTTACAATGGACACCAAAGGATCGCATTGCTTGTTTAAAAATTAATGCAAAAAGTGACAGAGTACTCGAGAAAATCGCTGTGTTGCTTGAAATTCCAATTACTAAGTACTGCCGGTGATTTTTTAAATGAAGTTAAATAGAAACTTGACTAAAATGAGAGTTATTTGTAGTAGTCATTATAGGACTTTGATAACAGAAATTTTTTATTAAGTATGCATCCAATTGGACTTGTTAAATCCTGTATTAAATATTGGAATGTATTATTAGAATTTGACAGAAGTTTCTTCTATTCTTTAGAAAGAAATCGTTGAAAGAGATCGAATTGTTTAATGGTTTAGGAATCACCTTTGGATGGATAATTTAGCGATTTTAAATATATCAGCGATATCATTTTTAATTTTTTTCTATAGGAATTGTGATCTTCTACTGCATCCTCGACGCAATGTAAGAATAAATGAATTGCGTGATAAAATTACTGATTGTGCCTGTCATAAACATTCCCGTGCTCGGTCATCAACTGAACAAATTTCAAATTCAAATGGAACTCCGGGGTGGTGGTCTGTGGGAATTAAGACAATCAAAAACTCATTTCGTTGTTAGTGTTTTCTCATTTTCGAATGTTTATCCAATGGTTAATTAATTCCACTGATTTATTTATTTTTTTGAACAACTTTTAGATACGCGTTTGCGGAAGAAACATAAATCTTCTAATCAAAAAAATTACGAGACTGAATCTGAAGATGAAAATAGACATTTAAACACATGGCTTCCAGAAAAACCAGGTACTGAAAAGCACAGATCAGTATCCACTGCATACATAATACAAAGTGACAGGTCATATGTATCTAAAAAATTGAATAGTAAAAGAATTGCATTGTGGCATAATACCGAAGAAATTCGTGGCTTTAAAAAGAAAGCTAATGATGATAACGTTTATCCGTTCGAAAAAAATAATAATTTTCATGTTGAATTAACCAAAATTCAACAAGGTTCAGTAAGAACAGGAAGCGATGAAATTTTTATTTCGGAAACAAGCCTATTTCTCAATAACACGACTAGAATTGAATGGGATACCAATAATAATTCTTTAATGGATGGTGATATTCACGATGTCGTTGAAGTTATTTTGACAGTACTACATATAATAGAATATGTATGTGGTCATCGTTGACTGTAGTAAATCGAAAAAATATGCTGCCCATTGGTTTCATTCACATTTTTATCACTTTATGTTTAATTTATGTGTAAATTTACATTTCTGTATAATTTATATACATATTTATAAATTTTACATGCAATTATATATAATTTTTCTAAATTTGAGATTAATTTGGAAATGTATCATAATCATTGTATTACCACCTATGATAATTTTTTATTTAAATTCATTTTGTATTGCCAGTTTTAATTTTTTAACGCTTTATTTTCTTATATTTATTCTATTAACGCATATTTAATTTGTATTGGAATCTAACATTTAAATTATAAAAACCATAAAGATTTAGTGAGATTTTCGCAAAAGAATTTGTTTTTTCCCTTCACTCCCACGCATCTATTTTTTATTTGCGTAATTTTCTTTATAAAAAGTAAGGTTGCTTTTCCTATGCACATTCTTTTATATGAAAAAAGTTTGGCATCTTTTCCCTCGCTCAAAAAAAAATAGTTAATATTGCCAAAAGTATTCCATCGTGTAGTATTGTTTATAAAGATTTAAAGACTTTTCATACTTATATATATTCAAATTATTTGGCGAAAATCAGTTGAATATACATAAAATGATCGAATAAATAATTATTACTTCTTCAGTTTTATCAAAACACCTTGAATTTCAGGCAACAACAAGTCGAAAAAGTGAAAATGCGTTTTGTTTCGTAAATAGATTGAAATCTGATAAATGGTAAAACATCTCCCGTATGCCAAAAGAATAAATTAAAGTATACCTATTAAACTTCTTACAACACTGATACTCGTTAGGACTACTAGTGAACTACTTTTTATTTTAAACAATATAAAAAAAATTAAAATATTTCAATCCAAGTGTAATGCCACGTCACGCCACAGTCAGTGCTAATATGTTCTTCATAATTATGAAATTTTACAGCCAATCCTTCAAATATTTGAAAAATAATGTATTTAAGTGAATTTTTTATAAGGTTATATCACTTTGGTACAAGTGGATCGATTAGATATGCTCCTTAAGCCAATCGAAAACAGTTTCATACACGATTAACATAATTGCACCCCCTGAAAGCAATTTGATTATTTTAGATTCACCATGATTCATTAAGGTTTTCGAAAAATCTATGAAAACTTAATGTTCAAAGCGAGTCTGCGCTGATTAGGCTATGTTCTTCATTGCTTATAGCAGGAATTGATGCATTTCGCGCTACTTGCTAAGCCGTTATAATAGATTGTGTCAAAAGCGATGACCAGTTAAGATAAGGACTAATAAAGTAGAGAAAGATTTCGAAATATAGGCTGCTTAGTAATATATGAACTTAGACGATAGAAGAAATGGCTTCTTTACTGTTAGGTAAGGCATCGGATGGATCAGGTTGAAAGCGACTTATGCTTGTGATTAGTCTAACCAATAATGGTAAAAACTGTTAAAAGGAAAATTTTAAAAACAAAAAAGGAAATATTTTTTCATTTCCTTATTTTTTCGCTAATATTCCAACTGGATAAATTTGACAATAATTCTAAGAAAAAAAGTTACAGCAAAATATAAAATGAATCAAATTTTCAAAAATGCGACTATTAATTCAATATATCTGTGAAATCGATTAAAACTTTAAAAAAAAGCTAAAAAATCTAAGGATATAAAATTTAAATCAGCTGTGACGTTTCGGTCAATAATTCCAGATATTTGATTTTCTATTAATTTAGTTTATGTCATTTAGTTAAGTTTTAAGAAAGAAAGTAAATAATCCAGAAATCACCTGGCCCAAGGCGCATAACTTTTGGTAAAAGTCCTTTGTAAAGTGCTCCTAATCTAAAAAAATAAATTCATCATTTTACTTCTTTTATCATTTACATTATTTTATTTCTTTTATTATTTATTATAAATAAGTTTATTAAAATCATTAATTAATCTTTGCACACGAAATAAAATCCTTAAATTGACCTTAAATAAATCCTTGAAAAATCTTTCACTCAATCCCAAATAAACTGGAAAAAAGGCGGAAATAAATCGAAAGAATAGCTCATAAGTTAAAAAAATTCTGTACTAGATGAAGATTTCAATTTAAAGAATTAAGTAATATTTTACCTCATTAATTATAAGAAAATATATTCTAAATATAGAAAATATATAATAAAAAAATATATAATAAATATATAAATATAAAAAAAAAATATATAAGAAAATAAGAAGAAAAAATATAATAAATATATAAATATAAAAAATATATTCTAAAGAAATTGAAAATTTTTCTTAAAATTTCAGAAAGGCTTACCCTTCTTCTTTATAAATAAGTTTCATGCTTTGCCAACATCCATGATATTTGCGGATTCCTAGCTCGGGCTGTGGACCTTGAACTCGACTTTTAGCCACATCGAATGGAATATTCGCAACAGACGCAAGTGTTCCAGCAGTGAAACCAAGTGCAACACGGCCAAATAAATTTGTCATAGGATTTTCCTGAAATATAAAAATTCAACCCTGTAATTTTACATCAGAAAAATATTTGAAGGTGGTATGATAAGAAGAAATTAAAAGAATTATAGAAAACACATTTCCATTCATCTTAAGTAAATGTAAATTTCTAGCGATCATCGTAATCATGGTAATGGGTTCTACCCAAAAAATTTTTGTAATCTATATCAGCTGAAATAAATGAAAGACGCCTTCACAATTCATTCAAAAAAATACAATATCGAAAATTTATAAATAAAAATAAAAAAGAAGAAAAAAATTGCAAAAAAAGGTGTACCGCAGCATCTGGCACATATAATTTTATATTGTGATATAAACCAAAATAAATCATATTCCACGTTCCATTACGTGCAAGTGTTGAGGTTAAACCGCAGTAAAGACCCTTTTTACCTATTCCATCGATTCGTACTATCTCTCTCGCAAGTGCTGCACTACTTTTTTGCTAAAATAATGGGGATTTTATCGACTTATTAGGAATTTTTTAAAAAATTCGTAACCATATCTCGAAGTTTCTGAAATTTCTTTAAAAAATCTTCATATTTGTATTACAATTGTTGTATTTGAACCGCCCAGGATATAAAGTTAATTTAGCTCCTTTTTTACGAATACCATTCATTCTTTTTGCCGTTTAAAAAAAAAGAAATTAAAAAATATGACCATTTTTATGTTAAATGAACTAATGTCTGGTCTAATTTTCTTTTAGGAGCACTCACTAGACAAATTTGCCACGGAGTTCCTTGGCGATAGGAATAAATGTATCGCCAACATCACCCGTATATATGAATACCAAGACTGATTGATTTACATTAGATTATTAGAGATTATTCACCTGGCTAAGCTTAATGTGTCTCTCAGCTTGCAATCGTATTTTCACAACTTCAAATGGATTAACAACAACAGCTTCAGTTAAACCACAACACAGACCGGCAAGCGACAAACTCTGGAATTTCATTTCCTTGTTAATTTAAAAAATTTGTCGAGGAATGATAATAATTTATTGGAAATTTAATTTTACAATTCGACCTAAGAATATGAATATTTAAGAATATTTCTGAATAATTTCTTAAAATTAATGCAATTTCAATAAAATCAAAACGATCGATGAAAAATTTAAGTCAAAGAAATTTAAAGTCAAATTAAAAAGTGCTAAGAACTAGGGGAGTACATTATATTTAAATTATATTTTCCTTACACTTTAAATGAAAAAAAAGCTCACAAGGGATGGATCGATCGAAGGCTTATTGAATAAATCTTTGTAAACTTCAAAAGTAAAAAATTTCGTGGCTCGCTTTGGAGTTTCAGCCAACAAAGGAGGTAATATTCCCTGAAAACTGAGTCCTTTTAGATACTTGACGCTCGAGGAATTGTTGGTTATCTCATGACAAGATGATACTCTTTTCCTTCTCTTCATTATTTTATAATCTTCAACCTCTGTATTTTGTCTTAATTTTCCTAATTTTTCCTTATTATAGAAAAAATAGTATCAGATAAAACAAAATATCAACTAATTGATTCAAAAACTGTTTGGAGAATAATTTATTGAATTAGGGAAACGATGGCCGAGCAGCATATCATTTCGAATATTGAGGATAATAGGTTCGATTCCTATCGTTTGGCTAGATTAACTATAATAAAAAGTGAAGAAAATGGCTACAGGTGACTCTCTTCTTTTCTCAAGTTTTCAATTTTGATCACGCCAAACAAAGTGGGAATGGAAAATGGTGAATGGACAAAAAAGAACAAAAATAATTATAACAAAAAAGTAAAACAATCAACAAACCTTATAAAAAGCAGTTGGGCCTTCATTCCTAAACGTTTGAAAAATACAGTCGATAAGACCTTTATAATGTGAACCAATTTGTAAACGAGTTTTGAGTAAATCGAGTGGATGCATTATGCAAACCTCAACCAAACCTTAAAAACTTGTGAAAAATTCACGAGCAACAGAACAAAAATGAATAAATAAGAGGAAATAAAGGCTATCAAAAATTTAAACGTATTTGCCAACAGTGATAAAAAACGTTAATGGGCATTATTTCTGGCAAGACTGGCTCTGGCTCGGTAAGTCAAAAGATCTCGCGATAGAAGCGTAGCTGGGTCACCAGCATCGCCCCCATTTTTTAATGACAAGTTTGCTTCTTCGAAATGAGGGCAATAACCCACTGAACTATTCTAAATAATTCCTTTCAATAAATTTGAATAACTTTGATCAAAAAATCGAAAATTCATGAAATTCATGACTTCGCTCATAATTTTCCCACATTTTTGGCCTATAGTCCTTTATACAAATAAATATTTACCAGCAGTTCCACCAGCAGTAAACTGCCGACAACCGTCTTTTACTTTTTCCATATTCACCATAATTCAAAGCGATCGAATACCTAAAAATTATATAAACAAAATATAAGGAGAATTAGAAAGAGCAACGACTATGGCTGGTTTTAATATAATGGCATCATCACCAATTTCTATATCCATGCAATAATTTGGAAGATAATAACCAATTTGGAAAGAAGTCAAAGAAATCACCGCCCTTGTAATGCACTGGCACAACTGCAAGCTACATTATAATCGTTTTGCTGGTACCACGAGGCGTTGGCACGTGAATAGAATATGACCAAGGTTGCCAAGGGAAAATTCTAAGATTAGGGGCAAAACTGGAGCATATCAGAATGTTAAGGAAAGCCAACCCTGTTCGCCATCTAAGCTTTCTTATAAATTTAGAGGAATATTTGCGAAAATAAATCACAACGAAATGGCCAAGCAATTACTAAAAATGCTGCAAAATCGTGAATTACACGAAATTTCGCCATTTTAAAAATTATTAACGAAATTATAAATCTAATTATTTATTGGTAATAAATAAAAGAAGAATAACGATTGTCGCTTATTTTATTTTAAAGAAAAAAAATTTAATCGATTCACGGCGATATTTTTAATGAAAAAATGAAAAACCGCTTTTTATTATTGTAAATGAAATATTTGCAATAATAAATAATCCGATTTTTAATGTTCATTAATGTTTATTAATTTAAAACATTTAAAAAACTGAATTCACTTATATTAAATTTTATTCATTTATATCAAATTTATACAAAAATGAAATTATGTTGCGAAAAAGAAATAAATAAAACAAAGACAAAATATATGATAAGTTAGAGGAAAAAAATAGGAGAGAAAGGAAGTATGTGAAAATACATGAAGAAAATGAGAGGAGGTAACAGAGATGATGGGAGCCAAGTAAACGTGGAAAGGAAAGAGAAACGAGAGGCGAAGAGGATGGAGAAAGGAGCAGGAGAGAGAGAAAAGAGAAAATGAATTTTATTGACTTCAGAATTCTAAATAGAAATAAGTGCTAATAACAATAATAATTAATAATAGTAATAATAATAGTAATAATAATAATAGTAATAATAATATTAATAGCAATAATAATAGCAATAATAATAATAGTAATAATGATAATAATAGTAATAATAATAATAGTAAAATAATAGTAATAATAATAGTAATAGTAACAATAATAGTAAAATAATAGTAATAATAATAGTAATGATAATAATAATAGTAATAATAATAATAATAGTAATAATAATGTGTTATCTAATTTTTCTACATGGATCCACCATTTCTGGTGTGGCTTGGTGCGTTGGCTATTAAAGGGTGGACCAAGTAATTCACCACTGCCATCCAAATTTCACCTTTAATGGATAATATGTTTATATATACATTGTCGTGAAGCAGTGTACGTATAAGCTGATCATCTTGCCCAACCCAGTTTATTATTCCTTACAAAAATGAATATAGTTTGAAGAATGATAAGCGATGAATGATATTTATTGTTTTTTTTATGAACTTAAAGAATTTTATTTACTTAAAAAAGTAAGAGCAGAACAGCTGAATGATTGTTGCACAGATGATTCGCATTGAAAGTCAGAATTCGGACACTACAACAGAAATTTAAAAATAGGCAGTGCTGGGGACTCAGTTCTGTTCAAAAGTGACAAAAATTTCTCACCGTAAATTATTCAGCCAATGGAGGAAGTCTAATCAGAAATTAGAAATGAGCGATAATTACTCATTTTTAATTTTAATTTATTTTTAATTTTAAAAAATACCAAGCGGATGGACACTATAAAATATTAAAATTTTAAAATATTGACAAATATTAACTACAATTTTTCTCGAAATTTCTACAAGTTTTTCGACACTTCACACGATAAGTTTTTTTAAGCTTATTTTTCGTTTAATTTTTAATTTTTCTATTTTATCATTTTTCCCTCTAAGATTTTGCCTCATTGTTTTCGACAGAAGTGAACCTGTCATGATATCCGACTGGCTGCGGGGGGTGGCCACCCGTAACTCTATCTCCAAATAGCTCTGTGGTAAAAGGAGCTGATTTCCTTGACATAGCGTCCGCGTTATTGTGATATTTCCAGCCCGGTGGTACGTGCGATAACTATATATCGAGTGTAAAACAGCCTCATAGTTTGTGAATATGATCGCGAAATAGAGCAATTGCTCGAAATCTGTCAAGGGGAACGACTTTCTGTGGCGAGGTGTTAACCGTGGCAACGTGGAGTGTCAGAACGCTTATGGATGTTGTAAGCAAAGCGATCATTGTTCACACTCTTTCTAAATATCATGTGGATGTATCTTTCTTATCGCAGGTCGGAGTTCCATACTAGATAGCCGATGGCTATCTATGATGGTGCTGAAATGGCCTCTATATGGACGTGACCACAGTATGCTTCAAGTCAAGATCGGCATGAAATTGATGGCTCACAAGTACCCAACTATCCACATTTTGCTTTTATTTATGATTTTAATTTTCAATTGCTTCATTATTGTTGAAATTTAATTTTGATGAAGTTTTTTGAGAAAACCACTCAATTTATTATAATTTATTAAGCGCCTTCCAAGTTCTTTCAACTTTCTCAAATTAAATGATTCGGGAACAGTGAGCACATTTCAAAAACAAATTTTTGAAACATCTCAATGATATAAATATAAATATCAACATCTCTGAAACGGCAGATAAATACCGACCCTAGTTAAAAGTATATCTCTGAAAATCAGCCATTTCCATTCTAGGATATATTATTAAAAAGTGCATTGGTTAGATAACAACTGTTCAATTGTCTAAAAAAGCTGCTGAAACACGAATGTCATGGCCTTCGAAGAATTACAACAACAGAAGCGTGGTAAGACAAAAATCGCAATTGAAGCGAAATGGTCCTGAAAAAAGATAACAGTGGCTCGACTAGGCAATAATAGGAAACTATTTCGTCTTCACAAAACAACTATAACTTGGATCAGTGAAATGGTAAAGGATAGCAGTGGTGTACCTAGGGCTATTAAAGGTGGTCTCGTAAGATGGAAGGAATCCTTTGAAGCCAAACTTAGTCACGGTGCGCCATCTGTTGTCCCGGTCTAATTCACCCTTCAAGCCATAAGTTTGCAACTGCAAATCATCAACAGAAGAGGAAATAATCTTTGTCATCCGGAAGTTTAAAGTCAATAAAGCTCTTAGAGAAGATACTCTTCGGGCTGAACTCTGCAAATATTGTGTCGTCCTACATAATAATCTTCAAGTACTCTCTGGTATGGAAGAAATAATACCAGATGACTGGAGCAAAGCAATTCTGCTTCCAATTTTTAAGAAATGTGACAGGATATACTGCGACAATTATCTAGGAATCAGCCTACTAAACTAATAGAAAATTTTTGCTTCTTTTCTGCTGAATAAGTTTATGGCAGTACCAGACAGCGATACCCGATGCCCCCTAACCAAGCTGGATTTAGACCAGGACGCATTGACCATAGATATTTGCGTTAAGAAGGGTTTTGTAGCACGCTTTATATTGGCAACCCAATTTTTTTATCCTTTCTGAATGTCTGAATTTCTGCCTCGATAAAAGTGCGCTTTGCAGGGTTGTGGAAATGCTAAATAATGTGCAGCAACTGCAGTGAGAACTGGATTCAGATTCATTGTAAAAAAAACAAGTGTTTTCGTCTTTTATACAAAGCGCTGACTGGTAACATCTATTTTCAACAATTTATTGCCATTGAGGAAATGCGGACTTCAAACATCTTTGATCCACTTTAAGCCCAAATGGCCAGGTAAAAGATGAAATAACCTGGATAACCACAGCTAGAAATATATTTTCCGGTTCCTTTATGGAGTCGTCGTGAAATCACCATAAAAATAAAAGTCCACATCTATATAGCTGATCCATTCGATCTTGCTATATGGTTCCGAGATATGAGAGTGGAGGATATTAAGAAGCTATCTGCCTTTAATGGTTGCGGAGGGGATAAATCTCACATGTCTGTATATTTTGCTCAAATACCCTGTATTAGTCTTCCACCATCGTCGACTTCGTTGGTTATGGCACATTTTTCATGCACCGCAGGAGTTGAGGAATAACACATATTTCATTACTCGCTAAATCCTGTGATGTATGGCGTATAGGTTAATCAAAACTTGGACTGATACAGTTAAGAAAGATTTTGAATGAAGAAAGCAAGAAAAATTTATATGAGAACCAGCGATATATGGATTAATACTATCAGCAGTGGCATCAAATCGAGTGACTTGGAAAATTACCCTTGTAGCCAGAGGAGCCAGCCTAACTAATAATGGTGAGAGCTGTTAGAAGAATGAAGAATTTATTTTCGTTTCGTTATTTTACAAGTCAGTAGCAAAACTATAAATTTAATTTGGTAACAACATGGTTCAACTCTTCCCTCTGGAGTAAACGAGTCATTAAAAAATCTTTTTGGAAACACATCTGTATTTTTATCGTACAAGGAATCTCTGGCTGAAATGTCTTATTCTAATACTAAAATAAGATTAGCAACTGGTTAGCACTTACTATTTCTGGTTAAACTCGCTCCACTAATTTGGTTGAAATTTTTAAAATGGAATCAATTGGCGATAATCATATAAGTGGGACCATTCAGATTTTTTAATGATGGATTTCTTTCTATCGAAGCCGAACCACTGATTCTCGATTTTTTATTTTATTCGAATACACATTAGAATAGCAAAAAGAAAGCTTTTTTCAGAGACGTTAGCCCAACAAAAAAAATTATCAATTAATTTAATATTGAATTTAAGAAATTTACTTCTTGTATTAATTTTCGTCAATTCGTCAATTCAAACTTTTTTTATTAATAATATTAAATATTTTCTAATAAGATTTATAATAATAATGATAAGACTTACTAAAACTAACATATTTTGGTGATCGAAAATTAAGTCTGTTTTCATAATATTTTCAACGATATATAATCGACTATTTTAAATACTTTGTAATAAAATTAATACAACAAAATTTTACATTTTATAATTCGATTTATAAAATAGTTTAATCGCTAAATGAGATTTTTTCTATGGAAATTCATGAAAATTTAGAAAATTTAATTTTAAAAAATTCTAGAAATTCACTTTGAAAAATTAAAAAAGAAAATGAAGAAAATTTTCTTCTTAAGAAAATTCTTTTTTAGGAAAATGCAATAATAATCAATCAATTGAGAAGATCCACTATTCATTCATTATCAATTTCGTTGATAAAAAAATTCGAGTAAAAAACGAATATAAGAAAAAAATTCTTTTTGATTTTTGAAATTTATTACTTTGTAAGCAGACTATAGCTGCTTGGAATGTCAGAACACTTATGGATATTGCAAGCCAAGCTATCACTGTCCATACCCTCTCTAAATACCGCGTGGATGTGGTTTGTTTGTCGGAGGTCCGTCTTTCTCATGTCTGCTCTCAAGTAATCATTAAACCTGGTTCCGAGCAAAGATATTGGCTATATCTCAGTGGTGCCTCGGATAACTCGGGGCGAAATGATGTAGCGATTGTCTGAAAAGGCTCGATCCGTTCTGATTGAATGGAGGCCAGTAAATGACCATATGGCCTATGCGCATTTCGAAGGAAAGTTTTGCAATATTTCGGTATATATGCTCCAACTTTATGCGAAACGATAAGGATAAGTTCTAGACAGAACTTGAACTGCTAACAACACCCTTACCGAGAGGTGACATGGTCATACTCGGGGAAGACTGGAAAGCGCATAGGTCATGATGCCGTCTCGATGAATTCGGTAATTGGCAAATATGGCATCGGAGTCCAGTGCACCAATGGAAAACGCCTTCTTTGCGTTGCTGAAGAGGATGAAGGCTCTTTGTTACTAATATATGCTTTCGGCATCGCAGAAAACATCTATTCACGTGGAATTCTTCGGACAACCAATCAGATTGACTATATATTGGTGTCAATCACCGTTGAAGAGTTCTGTACTTAATAGTCGTTCTTATCGGGGCACCGAAACTGGTAACCGCCATGGATCAGATCATGTTATGGTTCAAGCCAAGATTCGTATAAAATTAACAAGTCGTAAGAAACAACCCGAGATCTTTCAATTATCTCAAATTAAAAAATCCAGGAGCAATAAATGTATTTCAAACCATATTACTGGAACACCTTAGTGAAATAAACATCAATCACATCTTTGGAAAGGCGAATGAATACTGGTCCTAACTAAAGACATGCCTATAAAAGTCGGCCACTTCCGCTCTAAGATATACTAGTAGGAAGATATACTAGTGCGTTAGTTGGTTGTCCAACTGTCTAAAAAACTTGCTAACGCCCAAATTTCAGGAGATTATGACTATCGAGTGCTTTGAAGTACAGCAGCATGGAGGGACAGAAATCGCTATTGGAACGATATGGCGTTGAGAATGGAGACGGCAGCTCGGATAGGTGGTAATAGGAAAATGTTTCGCCTTCATCACAAAGCAACTATAACTCGAGAAGGAGTCAGTGAAATGATACGGGATATTAATNCTTTCGGCATCGGAGAAAACATCTATTCACGTGGAACTCTTCGGACAACCAATCAAATGAACTATATATTGGTGTCAATCACCGTTGAAGAGTTCTGTACTTAATAGTCGTTCTTATCGGGGCACCGAAACTGGTAACCGCCATGGATCAGATCATGTTATGGTTCAAGCCAAGATTCGTATAAAATTAACAAGTCGTAAGAAACAACCCGAGATCTTTCAATTATCTCAAATTAAAAAATCCAGGAGCAATAAATGTATTTCAAACCATATTACTGGAACACCTTAGTGAAATAAACATCAATCACATCTCTGGAAAGGCGAATGAATACTGGTCCTAAGTAAAGACATGCCAAATAGCCAGGCGAAAGATGAAATTGAAACCCAAATAATACAGCTAGAAATATGTTTTTTTCGGCTGATGAGACCTTTATGGGATCGTCGCGAAATTACCATAAAGACGAAAATCCGAGTCCATATAGCTGCAATTCGTTTTATNCAATCAGATTGACTATATATTGGTGTCAATCACCGTTGAAGAGTTCTGTACTTAATAGTCGTTCTTATCGGGGCACCGAAACTGGTAACCGCCATGGATCAGATCATGTTATGGTTCAAGCCAAGATTCGTATAAAATTAACAAGTCGTAAGAAACAACCCGAGATCTTTCAATTATCTCAAATTAAAAAATCCAGGAGCAATAAATGTATTTCAAACCATATTACTGGAACACCTTAGTGAAATAAACATCAATCACATCTTTGGAAAGGCGAATGAATACTGGTCCTAACTAAAGACATGCCTATAAAAGTCGGCCACTTCCGCTCTAAGATATACTAGTAGGAAGATATACTAGTGCGTTAGTTGGTTGTCCAACTGTCTAAAAAACTTGCTAACGCCCAAATTTCAGGAGATTATGACTATCGAGTGCTTTGAAGTACAGCAGCATGGAGGGACAGAAATCGCTATTGGAACGATATGGCGTTGAGAATGGAGACGGCAGCTCGGATAGGTGGTAATAGGAAAATGTTTCGCCTTCATCACAAAGCAACTATAACTCGAGAAGGAGTCAGTGAAATGATACGGGATATTAATGGGGTGCCTATTGAAAATATTAAGGATCGCCTCAGAAGATGGAAAGAATTTTTTGAGGCCAAACTTAACCACGATGCACCATATAACTGTCTCGAATATAACTGACTTGCCGGTCGACCCTTACGTTTGCAACTAGAAGCTGCCAGCAAAAGAGGAAATAATAATCTTTATAATCCATATGCTTATGGCCAATAAAACTCCAGGAAATGGTCCTTGGGTCGAACTCATCGAATGTTCTCCATTATCGTTCATAACTCACCTTCAACAATTGTATTCTCTGGTATGGTATAATACCAGAAGACTGGAGCAAAACAATTCTGCTTCCAATTCCTAAGAAAGATGACAGGACGTAACGCCAATTACCGAGGAATCAGCCTACTAGACATCTCCGGGAAAATTTTCGTTTGCATTATGCTAAATGGTCTCATGGCAATGTGAGATAGCAGAATGGGTCTTAATCAAGCTGGATTCAGACTGGGACGCAATTGTGCTGGCCAGATATTTACGCTAAGAAAGGTGCTGGAACATCGCTTAAAATACCAGCAACCCACCGACACTTGGTTTACGGTGTCCCAGAGAAGATCATTCGACTTATAAAAGCATTTTATCAGCATACCCTGGCATATATCTATGTATATGGGGTACTGACAAACTCCTTTGAAATAAGAACTGGTGTCTGTCAAGGGTGCGTCCTTTCCCCTACAATATAAATTGGATAATGGGCATCGCTTCCGGAATTCAAGAAGTGTGCAAATTAGTCCAGAGTAACATAGATCTTGAAAAAGTCGTTTTTGCTGACAGTTATAAGGAAATGCAAATAAACAATGTCACCAACTGCAGTGAGAATTGACTTAAAATGAATATAAATAAAACGAAAGTGTTTTCGTCTTATATACAAGATGCTGATAAAATATCTATTTCTATCAATACATTGCCGGTTGAGGATATGCCCAACTTTAAATACCTTGGATCCACTCTAATCCCAAGTGGTCAGGGAAAGGATGAAATTATAATCCGTATAACAGCTAATCCGTATAACAGCTAGAAACGTGTTTTTTCGGTTGATGAAATCCTCATGAAACTGCGAAATCACCATAAAGATGAAAATTTGGGTCCATGTAGCTGGAATTCGCTTGATCTTGCTATATGGCTGCAAAACATGGCCAATGGGAGTGGAAGATATTAAGCAGCTAGAGTAGCCTTTGACCAGTCATATTTAAAATACATTTTACGGATCCGTGACCGGATGAAATATCACATGATCGCATTCAAATACCACTTGCATTAATAATGCTATTACAGAGCGTCGGTTTGGATGGTTAGGGTATTTTCTTCGTCGTCCACCACAAGAGTTGCCGCATATTTCGTTACTTGCTAAACCGTGCGAAGGATAGCGTCAAAAACGAGAAGCGCCAATCAAGACCTGGAGAAAAACCTGGATAGAATCAGGTCAGGAAAGATTTTGAATGTATAGGAAGACGAACGATATGTGGACTTAGACGATGGAAAAAGGAATGGCTCCTATTACTATTAGCGATGAGGTCGGACCGGACAACTTGGAGACCCTCACCCTTATAGCCAGCGGAGCCTGTCTAATCAGTAATGGTTATTAGAAGAAGAAAAATCTTCAGTAAATAAAAATAGATATTTTTGAAAAAAGTCAGAAAAAAAAGCAGCCTCCTCATATATTAGCAAAAAAGCTAATATCCTGCAAAAAGGGGCAAGAAATAGCTGCTCTTTCGAGAAATTTCCAGATGATGCCATAAAAATTCATGAATATCCGGCGCAAACTTTAAAATGTTTATTAAATTTTTCTACCTAAGAGTCTTGAATAAACTGCATAATCATTAAAATCATTTGTTACCGTTCAAATAAAATAAAAATATATAATTCCAATTATACTCCCAAGTTGGAAATCGCTGCAATGGATCTCCCATATGGGATCCATAGAGGCTAGCTTGAAAATCATTAAATTAAATATTACAAAATAATGCCATTTGGCCATATTACTTGAACAACCATATCAGCTGGATTATATT